AGGCCGGCATTCACAGAGTCGTGAATTATTTAAGATCTTTGATTGAGAACATAATTAATCACGAATTCATGTTCATGGACAGTTACTCTGCTGCTCGTATAAATCTTTGTCGCATGAGATAATGCGGTAACAATTTGACAAACGATCGGAGTTTCCTGAAGCTATAATTACTTCGTTGTCAACGACAACAGATTACGAATGCTAAGTTTCGACTCGGGTATCTCTTTATTCTCGGTATTTTAATATCCGTTAAAATCGAAAATTTCCCGTATAGGATAAAGCGGGATAATTTGGATAATTTTAAACTTTTTGAACAATTTCTCGAAAAATAATAATTTTATCCTTACATTGAATATGTAGCAGGAAACTCACATGTCTAAGGAGTATTTACCCAATATATGATAAATTACTCTTTAAATCTTGAGGTGTAATGCCATTATCCAATTTACTCTTACAATTACAAATTACAATTACAATTACAATTACAATTACAATTACAATTTTAATGAAGATCAATTTTGAAGGGCAATTCGGATATCTTAAGGGGTAATTTGAATAACATTAAAAATAAGCATTAATATTATAACAAAAACTAAATCATGTATTTAAATGTTCTTTAAACATTTTATTATATTTTTTAGATCAAATTGAACATAAATTAGAAAAATATATATAAATATATAATTAATAAAATTGAATACAAATTAGAAAGTCAAAGTAATCATATTAGTTCCATATAATATTTTAAATACAACGAACATAAATAAACTAACATTAACTAAAATTAATATTATAATTATAATTACATTAACATAATAATTAACATAATAATTAACATAATAATTATAATGAACATTATAACATTATAATATTATAATAAAAGCAAAACATTATATTTATCGATTATGTTTTTGTGTTTATTAAATTGCACTTTTCAAACAAAATTAAATAAAAATTAAGACAATTAATAAGAGAAAAAAATAATCATGTTAATGTTACATAAAAAATTCATATATAAGGGCTACAAATAAAGTGTTTTTTCCTTTGGCTCCAACGCATTGCTCATGATACCATGCTTTGTAGTGCTGGTATCCAGTCCCCTTTTTTTATAGAGACATTTAAATAGTAGCTGGCTTTATAAAATGCATATATATAGTCAAGTTTTTTCTAAAACGCTATTAAACAAGGCGGAGCGCCCAATAGAAGTGCGAGGGACTTCATTTTTATCACATATTTGTTTTTGATTAGATTGAACTTTTCTGTATAAACTTTTGTAGAGAACGTGAAATAACTGTGCAGCTTGTAAAATGGACATGACACCATCAATAACAGATGTAATGGTTTGCCTCATACTTTCCTTGTTTCAATTTAATCGAGTATCCTTTTTTCATAATGTCTCACCATTTAAAATAACGAAATGTATCTTAAAACAGTTGAAATATACATATTAGGGAACTGAGTGCGTTATCCAAATTGCCTTATAAAAATGTATTCAAATTACCCCGATATAAAATTGTAATATAGTAAAATTGTAATACTACAATAACTCAAAATGCGCCACTAGTCGACGTGGTAATCGCCACTACATGCGGGAAACATTTTTAGGTTATATTGTTATCATAGTTTTCACGTAGATTTAATAAAAGCTTAAGCTAGCAGAATATATTCTTATAAACTACAGTAACAACAGAAGTTCTCTATCTACCTTGCTTAATGTAAAATGTAAAATACTCCACAGACCTTCAGATTCACAAATATTTTTTGAAAATTGTATAAATTTGTAGACTACAGTATCTTCCTTACTGCTAAACTCAAACATAAAACAAAGCGTCTCATATTTTTTTGAAATTGTCGTAAACACTTAATATTATCTAAATTCCCCCGCTGTATCCTAATTAATGATTTTGCACACCTTGGAAATATATATGATATATCGTCCATGTGGCGATGTCTTGCGTCCTTCGTCCTAGCTCCTTGACTCGGCATCCTGGTTGCTCCGTCATGGCACTGGCACTGAGACTTGCGATTCAATCGGAGACATACGTTAAATAACGCGATGCCGACGTGAGACAAATTAAGCCTCTTAAGGGGATGCTGAAGTCGATGACGAATTCGAACAACGTCGATAATGCAGAGACGATCGTCACTAACATAATCACGCTATCCTTTTCGTATTTCTTATATATAGAGAACTTACATGAATGTGTGTTGCTTTGTTTTACCATATTCAACGGAAAACCTAACCATATATGTATAGAAATCTTTCTGCAAACTTTTTCGATATTTTTAAGCTTCTAAATGCAAATGCAAAGGTAGAGCAATGTTCTTCAAAATTTTTCTATTTGGAGCATCCACACTTTCAGTATATACAAGCTGCGGAATTTTTGGATTAGACAAATATTACGCTAACTGACAGCTTGAGATTTTATATTAAAAATTTTTTGTTTGCTTTCGTCACATATCGAGCAATGTTCCTATTTATTTTTGCATGTACTTTCATTGTGTAAAAGCATTTGTAATTCTGTGTAACCAATACGACGTAAACTTTGCAGAAAAATGTCAGTGTTCTGTCGGTAAAGTTTTCAGCTTCAGCATCCCCTTAAAAGGGCCAACGAAATAGTTTAATCACCCGAGAGGAACGATAAAAATAATGTGTTGAAACGTGACATAGTCCGTGATATATATGTCGCTCGCTGGCTTAGAACTAGATGGAAACAGTTTACGTACTCCGAAAAAGTCCGCGAGACATATACGCACACAAAGGTAAACTTGATCGCCACGAAAGTCCTCAATATTTTAAATGTGTACACTGAGAAAAAAATTTACCAAATTTCAAAAAACGTTTGGTTGGATAGTACTAAAGATATTTGTTTAAATTAAGTAATAATTTTCTAAAATTAAATAAAGTTTTAAACATAAATTTGTTTCTTTAATTTTAGAAAATAATTATTTAATTTTAACAAATATCTTCACAGTACTATTCAAACAAACGTTTTTTGAAATTTAGTAGATTTTTTCTCAGTGTAGAATAACAATAGATAACATACTAATGTAATGTATGTAATATTGTATGCGTGTTACTCCTCAGCAGGACTAAATGAAAACATTCGGAAAAGTCCGCGAGGCACGAAAGGTGAAATTTGACTGTTTTGAAGATTCTAAATGTTTTGACTATGCGATTGCCCGGTGCTCATTGATGAGCTCATTGTTGGCGATAGGAGGGGACGAATTTACACTTTTTGCGAATTATTCTCGTATTCTCGCGCGTTACACACGTGTTTTTATTTTTTGTAGTCGTTCGTTTTGCGTAACATTTCAAGCAGAGTGTAGTAAGCGCTTGAGAAAAGCGCCGAGAAGCAAAAAGCGTATAAAAAATCAACAAGCAAAATTGAAAAACTTCTGTTTTTCTAACATTATCATTTTAATGTGTCAAGTAGTAGTGCAAGGATCATGAAAAGACGACATTATCATTAATAATCTTCTACTATTCAAATTAATTTCTCATGTTTAAACAATTTTTTACGTATATAGGATGTTTAAAACTAAAATACTCCACACATATAAGGTGAAATTTTACTTTTCTGATTCTTTATTCTTTTAAAATAGATTTGTGACTTTGAGGTCACATTGAATAGTTACTATCGCGACATACTAGAAAAAGGCAGTTATGTTGTGACTTTCACGTTGATCAAGACAGACAACACTCACAACATTCGTATTGGAAATAAATAATAATGATGAAACTGGATTGTGATTTTGCAGTGGACAGTAGAGGGTTAATATTTTCGAGACTTATATAGATTATCAACCAACAAATTTCGACTCGGAATTTCCCGCATGATTCTTGCCGATTCGCTCTTCCTCCTACTCTCACGCAGCTCAATTCACTTCCAGCGCGCGTAAATTCCCTGTAGTCGTTGACGAGAACGGTGTATGATGGCGCCTCTCGTCGCAATCCACAGATATGCAAATTTAGACTATTGATCGATCTTGGCAACCGTTGCTTTAACGTGACGCGCGACTCGTACGGGAACTCATAAAAAGACGCGTTGGCCCCGCGAACGACGGGTCGATAATTTTCAATACGACCGCGATAACAACAGCTGTGTCGATGCCTGCGTCGGATTTTTCGCTCGTACCCTCCGCCTTTTAATGCGCTACACTTCCCTTCTTCCTTTCTCTTTATTTGCTATACCGGTGCGATACACCCTAAAGGAGATCGTAAAAGACAGCGCCGCTCGCGTGATCGTTGCGAATTCGTTACTGCTCTTGTTAACGCCCCACGCTCTGGGTATCCCTGGACAAACCTCGTAAAATTCAGCGGTTTTACGCTAGTCGTACCTTAAGACGATCGCGAAATTTGCCCCGACCGATCACGCAACGAATAAGGAATCGTGCTACGTCTTACCCTCATCTACACGCACTATCTGTCATCGATTGACTTCTCGAGAACTGCATTCATTTACCTGCCATTTATTTCTACTACACACTGAGAGAGAAAAATATATCTAAGAAATAAAAAATATTTATTAGTGTGTAGCGGGTATACACTATATATATGTATAATAACACATATTTATTTATATAATATATATAAAGTACTTTTCAAATAAGAAAATATACATTTTCTTAAAATTTTAAGAAAACTTTAGCTTTTTACGAGAGCAAATTATTTATTCTATTTAACTAAAAAAATTTAGAATTAAGTTCACTTAAATTTAGAATTAAGAATTATCTTTTTCTCTCAGTATGTATTAACCACTATGTAGAGTTGGGCAAAATTGAATTTTAATTGAAACATTTTGTTACACTCGTGTTAAGGGCTAACGAAAAGTTTGCATCACGATCATCATCTGCACAGGAAATAGAATTTCTACGTAATTTGCGTAAAAGAGTTTGATTGTTTCTAATAATGTCGCGATTGTTAAGATATTTATTCTCCACGATATACTACAAATATATATGCACTAATTAAATTGATGAAACTATTTCAATTGCAGGACAACCGATCAATCGTTTACCCATCATGGCCAAGTCCGTATTGGATCTGTACGAGCTCTACAACCTGGTAATCCAACGAGGCGGCCTCGTCGAGGTAATCAACAAGAAGCTCTGGCAGGAAATCATCAAGGGTCTCCGCCTGCCATCGAGCATCACTTCCGCCGCGTTCACTCTGCGCACTCAGTAAGTAGATCGTGAAGTTTCTCATCCGGGACCCCGGTCTCGCCTGTGCCCGGGCTCGTTGCAATTCGCATACAATAAGTCTAGCCGGAGACTCGAGATTCATCCGGGCGTGAAATCTGCAGCAATGACTAAGGGCGTCGTGACTTTTACGCGCATCTTTCTCCCCCTTCGGCCAAGAGATTCTCATATCGAACTCCGTCCGTCTCGCCTCAAGAGACACTTGCTAGGCGGCGACATGACTGCTCGCGTCACCCGAGTCTGCTTTTCGTCACTCTCTAATGCATTCGAATATCTTTGCGATCGATAATCAGTAGTTGCGACTGTTGGAGTTCCTTAAATTAGAGCCTACCTCTGGCGGTTATCGACATCCACGTAGACAGTGAAAGTCGACCACGAGGAATTCGTGAACGGGACCGGAGATATCGCGAACTCGCAAACACTCGCCGTCTACAAAGAGATAAAACAAGTGGAACGACGGGAGAGTCAGAGGCGTGACATACAGGTGCATCGTCTTAGGCGGCGTTGTCGTCCCCCCACGTCGGTCCCGAGGCGCGATCATGAGAAGGACACATCAGGACGGTTGTGACAACCTGGAACGCTCTCTACCCTCCCTCTCCACCCCCTCTGTCTCTCTTTCTGTTGGCACGATATATATTCGTTTATATAATACCGAGCATATTCAGCGCGGCGACGAAGATTTATCTGCCGTTCGCGGTGTCTCGTCTGTCTCGGAAGGAACGGAAGAGAAGGCGAACGTCTCTAAATAGAGATTCGTCGAGCGCGAGATTCGGAGAGGCGACGAGACGAGGCATCCCGGCTCGTCGTTGCTCGAACGGAGCGACGGAGGAAGTACGAAAGAAGAAAATGGAAAGGGGAAGGACGAAAATGCGAGGGAGACAGGGAGAAATCAGAGGGAGAGAGAGAGAGAGAGAGAGAGAGGGAGA